GAGGCAACAATGCTTGATAAGAAATGTACTCATTACCTTGCTCATGTGATTGATTGTAACCCCTCTGTATAAAACTTATTAAAAAAAAATGAGGGGCTGGGATATCTCAATGGGAAACACTGAACAAAGGGTGTAGGGGGAGTACTGAATGGGGGAAACATTGAAATATTAAACGGGAAGAGCATTACTGAAACAAAGCATAAGTTCATAAAACATAATTTGGAAAAACAATATGAGTCACAAACCTGTGTGCTTGAAGCAATTACATCAGCCAAATAGTCAAGGAAAAATCTACTAGAAATGCAAAAACTGAACAAAATTACAACTATAATGAAAAGATCCTATCATGCCTCTTTCATATTTAGTGATTAAGCAGATCAAAAAAAAGGACATTGAAAAAACAAACAATCCATAAAAACTAAATTGTAGATATACTTAGAATTTAAATCTTGTATATGCATTTTTCTAATTTGGGGAAGGGAAGGGAAAAAACAAAATGCTGAAATAGGGATACAGGTTGTATCTCATTGATACAATGAGATATACAAGACACTATGTTGAAAACAAACTTTACAGCTTGTTGGGGGGAGAAAGGGAGGAGTTGAGGAGGTGGGGAGGGAAGGAATGGTAAGGGAAAAACAAAGGAGGAGGTAACAATGCTCGATAGGAAATGTACTCATTACCTTACTCATGTAACTGTAACCCCTCAGGGATGGTAAGGGAAAAACAAAGGAGGAGGTAACAATGCTCCATAGGAAATGAACTCATTACCTTACTCATGTAACTGTAACCCCTCTGTAAACTATTTTTACAATAAAAACATTAAAAAAAACTTAATTCTCTTTGTCATTAAATCAATCATATCAGAATGGTCATTAAAAATCAATCATATCAAAAAATCATATCAAAAAAATGAATCATATCCTTGTCCATCAAGCATATTTTATTTTCAAAATTTTGATTTAGATTCAACATAATTTAGAATACTACATTTTTTTCAGTTAAAATCCAATAAATGTAGAAATAACTAAAGAAAAACGATTATCAATAGAAAAAAATTTTAAAAGTTAATAAAAACTTTCATGGCTAATGATTAGATAAAGCAGAAAATCTAAAAAGAAACCATTAGCTATCATAATACTTTGTATATTTTATACCAAAATACCTAGACAAAATCAAATCTCTATTCACAGAAAAAAATGTATAACAATTATGCCAATTACTATAAAAAATCAAAAGCAATTAACATTTATAACAATTTAAAGAAAACAAACAGCACACCGGAGGAACAAACTTACATATAAATGCAAATGTTAATAAAGTACAAGTCAAAAATATAGAACAGGATAAAAGTAAACCTAAAAGTTATTTCTTTAAAAATAAAAAGAAATTAGCTAGGTACCAGTGGTTTATATATACAGGAGGCTGAGGTCAGAGAATCATGATTCAAAGCTTGCCCAGGCAGAAAACTTTGAGAGACTCTTATCTCTAACCAGAAAAATGCCAGGCTAGAGGTGTGTTTAAATGTTCAAGTAAAAATATGAATTTTTACCTGGCATGATAGCTCATGTCTACAATCCTACCTACCCAGAAAGGATGAGATTGAGAGGACTCCTGTTCAAGGCTAGCCTAAATGTTTGTGAAACCCTATCTCAAAAACAAAACAAAACAACTAGGCATGTGGAATGCATCTATCATTCCAGCCACTGTAGGAAGTGTATAAAGGAGAATCACAGTCCAGGCTAGCCTGGTCATAAATTCAAAATGCTATCTCAAAAATAACCAAGGTAAAAAAGGCTGGAGGCAAGTGCAAAGCCTTGAGCTCAACCCCCTATTATGAAGAAGTTTTCTGTTCAATAAACATGGGCATCTAATCATTGAATCTATGGGCACAATAAATTTATCAAAGAAAAATAGAAGTCATATAATTGCATACATATTTTAAAATGTTAGAAATAATTCAACACATAATCTTTTTAAAAATACTAGAGAAAAACTAAATGCAGTGGAATATTATAGACTCTATAGTCAAAATAAATTCTATACATCTGATAAAGAGTTAATAGTGAGAGCATATAGTGAACTCACAATGCAATAGCAAAACAACAGCCAAATCAAAAAAAATTGAGCAATAGATTAAAGTAGACATTTTTCAAAGGAAAATATACAGAGAGCCAACAGGCATATGAAAAAAATGTTCAACATCAGAAATCATCAGGGAAATGCAAATCAAATTGCAGTGAGATATCATCTAATCCCAGTTAGAATGGCTGCTATCAAAAAGTTAAAAATAACTGATCTACAAAGTATCTGGAGAAAAGGAAACTCTTGTAGACTCTTGATGGGAATATAAATTAGCGAAGCTACTATAGAAAATGGTATGGAGGCTCCTCAAAATATGAAAAATTAACTCCTGTATAATCCAGCAATCCCTCTACTGGGTATAGCTCCAAAAGAAATGAAATCATTCTTTTGAAGAAATATCTAAATGCTACAATTAATATATTATTATTTACAATAGACGAGATGTGAAAACCAAGTGTTCATCCATTGATGACTAGATAAAGACAATGTGAGCCAGACATGGTGGTACATGCCTGTAATTCCAGCACTCACAAAGTTTCTGTATGAATTGAAAATTAATTTTAAGGTAATATCAGGAAAACATAAGAAAAATTCAAATATACCAAGCCTTTATTACACTTCTTCCTTCATATGGGGACAGACTTAGTAGGTAAAGAATAAAGACAGCCAGGGACCAGTGACTTACATCTGTAATCCTAGCTAGTCAGGAGGCTGAGCTGAGGACCACAGTTTGAAGCCAGCCTGGGCAGGAAAGTAAAAAGTGATGCTATGGTTCGAGTGGTAGAGCTCTAGACTTGGTAAAAAGTAACTCAGGGACAATGCCTGAACCCAGAATTCAAGCCTTAGGACTGGCAAAAAAAAAAAAAAGAAAAAAGAATGAAGACAATCAATCAATAAAAATTATATTATAAACATATAATAGGATCAGTTCCTTGTAAAAGATCTTCAAGAAGCCAATCTGGGCAGGAAACCAGAAAACCAGAAATAGTGGCTCAAAGTGGTAGAGTGCTAGCCTTGAGCAAAAGCACTCAGGGACAGTGCCCATGCTCCAAGTTCAAGCCCCACAACCACCACCAACAACAGCAATAAAAAAGAGCTTCAAGAAGCTTGGTCACTTCTTCTGCCATATGAGGACACAAGAAGAAAGTGCCACCTATGAGAAATAAGCCCTCTCAAATCTACTGGCACCTGATTATAGGTGGTACAGCATCTATAACGATAAACAACATATTTATATTGCTTAAAATTATTAAATCTATTTCTTCCAGCCACTTAAACACACTAAATAAGAATAAGCATAGAGCTAGGCCCTGATGGCTCACTCCTGTAATCCTAGCTATTCAGGAGGCTGAGATCTGAGGATCATGGTTCAAAGCCAGCCCAGGCATGAAAGTCCATGAGACTATCATCTCCAATTAGCCATCAGAAAACTGAAAATGGAGCTGTGGCTCAACGTGGTAGAGTGTTAGCCTTGAGCAAAAAAGCCCAGGGACAGTGCCCAGGCCTTAAATTCAAGCCTCACAACCGGAAAAAAAAAAAAAGAATAAACATAGAAAGGGAAACAACAAAACTCTTAGAAAACAATCAAGGCTTGACCTGAGGGGTAGGCAAAATAGCTAAATCATGAGTATGGAGGTGTACAAAGAATCACAAGTGAAAATAAAATACATGAAAATCCATCAATGCCAAACACAATGATTGGCACCTATAATCCTAGCTACTGAGAATTCAAAAATCAGAATGATCACAGTTTAATGCCAGCCTGGACAAAAAATTACCAGTATGTCATCTCAACCAATTAGCCCAGTTTGTTGGTGTACATCTGTCATATCAACCATATGAGAGATCACAGTTATCTGGGTCAGAGACTAAGGCAGGCTCAAGAAAAAACTTCACACCCTACCTGAAAAATAACAAATAATAATAATATCAAAAAAGTCTGGGTTGTGGCTGAAATGATTAAATGCCTACCTAATAAGCATGAGACTGTGCAAATTCCAGTACTATAAAAATAAAAATTAACTAATTAATTTAAAATTCATCCAAAGTAGCCTCTTCAGTAAATGGCGCTGGCAAAATTGGTTAACCACCTGTAGAAAACTAAAGCTAGATCCTTATATATCACCCTGCACCAGAATCAACTCCAAATGGATCAAAGACCTCGGAGTCAAAGCAGACACCCTGAAAACATCACAGGACAGAATAAGAGAAACCCTAGGTCTCCTTGGCACAGGCTGAAATTTTCTCTTTTTTTAATAATTTTTTTATTGTGAAAATACTGTACAGAGGGGGTTACAGTTACATGAGCAAGGTAATAAGTACATTTCTTATCAAGCATTGCTGCTTCCTCCTTTGTTTTTACCCTACCATCCTTCCCCTGCCTAAATTGTAAAGTTCATTTTTCAACATAGTGTTCATCTCATTGTTACAATGGGTCGACCCATATCCCTATTTAAACATTTTGTTTTTTCCCTTCCCCTCCTCAAATTATACCCACATCAAATACAGTGAAAACAGGGGTTATGCCATGCGGTGTGGGGGGGGAGGACATCCAAAGCAACAAAAAAAAATTACATGGTTCCTTATAAATATTTTAAAAACAATAGCAAGAAAGAAAAAAACCACTTGTGTCCTTATCTTGGGGTACATTTCACTTAACTTCATCATTAGAGACCCAGAAACACAACAAATCAAAGAAAGACTGGACAAATGGGACTTCATGAAGCTGCAGAGCTTCTGCATGGCCAAGGACATAGCTAGCAAGATCAATAGAAAGCCCATTCTTCACTAGCCATACAATGGATAAGGATCTCATATCTAAAGTATACTTGGAACTCCAAAAATTAAATTCCCCAACAACAAATCTTAAAAAAAAACTGCCTGATAAATAAGTGGGCTAAAGACTTAAAGAGAGGGTCTCTAATCTACAGGATGGGGTTTGTTAAAGTTGTCAAGAATAAGGCCTACTTTAAGAGATACCAAGTGAAATTTAGAAGACGACGAGAGGGTAAAACTGACTATTATTCTAGGAAACGCTTGGTGATCCAAGACAAAAATAAGTACAACACACCCAAATACAGGATGATAGTTCGTGTAACCAACAGAGATATTATTTGTCAGATTGCTTATGCGCGCATAGAAGGAGACATGATCGTCTGTGCGGCATAGGCACATGAACTACCCAAGTATGGTGTGAAAGTTGGCCTAACCAATTATGCAGCTGCCTATTGTACTGGCCTGCTGCTGGCCCGCAGGCTTCTCAATAGGTTTGGCATGGACAAGATCTATGAAGGCCAAGTGGAGGTGACTGGAGATGAATACAATGTAGAAAGCATTGATGGTAAACCTGGTGCCTTCACCTGCTATTTAGATGCAGGCCTTGCCAGAACTACCACTGGCAATAATGTCTTTGGTGCCCTGAAGGGAGCTGTGGATGGAGGCTTGTCTATCCCTCACAGTACCAAACGATTCCCTGGTTATGATTCTGAGAGCAAGGAGTTCAACGCAGAAGTACATCGGAAGCACATCATGGGTCAGAATGTCGCAGATTATTTGCGCTACCTAATGGAAGAAGATGAAGATTCTTATAAGAAGCAGTTCTCTCAGTACATAAAGAACAACGTAACTCCAGACATGATGGAGGAGATGTACAAGAAGGCGCACGCTGCTATACGAGAGAATCCAGTCTATGTGAAGAAGCCCAAGAGAGAAGTGAAGAAGAAGAGGTGGAATCATCCTAAAATGTCCCTTGCTCAGAAGAAAGATCGGGTAGCTCAAAAGAAGGCAAGCTTCCTCAGAGCTCAGGAGCGGGCTGCTGAGAGCTAAACCAGTTTTCTATGAAGATTTTTTTCAGAAAGACAATAAACTTATTGACAAGCAGCTATTTCTGTGTTAAGCTCTTGTTATGAAACTGTAGGAAACCATTATCAAGTATAAAAAAAGCAAAGGACTTTACCATTTTTTCCAAGACTCAACCATAGCTTTTTTTTTTTCATTCTTTCCTACTGTTCTGCCTCTATTGGTACTTGAACTTGGGGCCTGGTACTTTTTTAGCTTTTTGACTCAAAGCTGGCATTGTATCATTTAAGCCATATCTCCACTTCTGGCTTTTTGCTGGTTAACTGGAGATTCCTATACTTTCTGCCTAGCCTCCATCTTTGTATGGCAGCCTCCTGAATAGCATAAGCCACCAGCATAGCTTTTTTTTTCTTTAAAGATAAAATGACTGTCCATCGATTGTGTGTTGTATAGCTCTCTAAAAGTACAGCAAGCAACAGGCCAACAATTATCCGGAGTTTCATCCATTTATTATAACCAGCGGGAAGGTAAAGTATACAATCTTAAATAAAAAAAAAAAAAAGACTTAAAGAGAAACTTCTCTGAAGAGGAAATAAGAATAGCCAATAGAAACATGACGAAATGGGGCTGGGAAGGTGGCTTAGTGGTAGAGTGCTTGCCTAGCATGCATGAAGCCCTGGGTTCAACTCCTCAGTACCACATAAACAGAAAAGGCCAGAAGTGGCGCTGTGGCTCAAGTGGTAGAAGGCTAGTCTTGAGCAAAAGAAGTTCAAGGACAATGCCCAGGCCCTGAGTTCAAGCCCTACAACTGGCAAAAAAAAAAAAAAAAGAAGAAGAAACATGAAGAAATTCTCAACCTCTCTAGCCATAAAAAAAAAAAAAGCACACAAATCAAAATAACATTGAGATTCCACCTCACCCCAGTTAGAATGGCTATAATCAAGAACTCTAATAACAACAGATGCACTGTAGGGGATGTGGCCTACTGCATTGTTGGTGGGAGTGTGAACTTGTTCAACCACTTTGGAAAGCAGTATAGAGGTTCCTCAAAAGACTCCCCATAGAGCTCCCCTATGACCCAGCAATCCCACTTTTGGGCATTTACCCAAATGATCACAAACAAGGCTATACTAAAGCTACCAGCACAACTATCTTTATTGCAGCATTATTTACCATAGCTAAGATAGGGAACCAACCCTCACTACATGAATGGATCAAGAAAATGTGATACACACACACACACACACACACACACACACACACACACACAATGGAATTCTCTGCCTCCATCAGAAAGAATGACATTGTCCCATTTGTTAGGAAATGGAAGGACTTGGAAAAAATTATATTAAGTGAAGTAAGCCAGGCCTAAAGAAACATAGGTCCCATAGTTTCCCTTATTTACAATAACTAGTCTATGTCTGGGAGAAGCAGAAAAGGTCAAAAGCTATGCACATATGACCAGATAAGATGATGTTAAGCGAAATGAACTCCAAGATAGGGACACAGTGGTTTTTTCTTTCTTGTTATTGTTTCTAATGTATTTATAAGGTATTATGTGATTTTTTTGGTTGCTTTGGATGTCCCCCCCACCTCCCCCCCCCCCACACTGCATGGTATAACGCCTGTTTTCACTGTATTTGATGTGGGTATAATTTGGGGAGGGGAAGGGAAAAAACAAAATGTTTAAATAGGGATACATGTTGACCCATTGTAACAATGAGATGTACAAGACATTATGTTGAAAAATGAACTTTACAATTTAGGTGGGGGGGAGGGGGGTGGGGGAGTGTGGGTGGGGGGTAGTGTAGTTGTGGAGGTTGGAGGGAAGGGATGCGGGATGGTAGGGGAAAAACAAAAGAGGAAGCAACAATGCTTGATGAGAAATGTACTCATTACCTTGCTCATGTAACTGTAACCCCTCTGTACAATATTTTTACTATATAAAGCTTACTTTAAAAATTCATCCAAAGGTAAAACTTACACTTCAAAGAAGTGCATGAAAGAAATACCTAAGTGAGAAGATCCATACAGATGATCAAAAATATTTGTAAGATTGTATGTCTAACAAGGATAGTGTAACTAGAATTTGAAAGGAATTAACATAAGTAATAAAAAGACTAATGGCTCAATTCAAAAATAGGAAGAAAATGGAGTAGATATTTCTCCACAAGAGTTGTATAAATGACCAATAAGTACATGAGAAAATGTTCAACAAAATTAGTCATTGGAGAAATGCAACTCAAAAGTACATTAAGATACTTCTTCATACCAATTGGGATGACCAGATTCAAAGGACAGTTAATAACCCATCCTGGGATATGTGGAGAAATCAGAACCTTCTTACACTGCTGCTGGGAAGATAAATGGTACTGCAGCTTAGGGAAACAGTCTAGTGTTTTGGTTTTTGTTTTAAACGAGTGTATTGTTTTGGTACGATCCATCAATTCCATTTCTAGGTATAGACCCAAAGAACTGAGTACTGAGAACATATATATATATATATATATAATATATATATATATATATATATATATATAATATATATATATATATATATACATGCATAATAACAGTATTTACAATAAATTAAAGGTGGAACTAACCAAATATTCATCAATGGAAAAGGAAAATCATAACCATCAAATATTATTTTCCCAAGAAAAGAAATCAAGTATCAATACTGACACATGGATAAATTTCGAACATAGGATACTAGCTACAGAATCATTCAGAATAGGTAAATCTGCAGAGACAAGGTTAACGAGTGGTTTCCCCAAGCTGGATGACTGGGGAAAAAATATGTGGTGACTGTTTCTGAGGTGTGTGATTTCTGTGTGGAGTGATACAGTGAAATTTGAGTGCCTTACTGAGTGTACAGCTCTGACTATTCTAAGAAGAACTGAACAAATGAGGTCAAGGAAGGAGATAAATGAATAGAGAAAGGATCGGATAATTCAGTCATAATATTTAATGCACATGTGTGAAAATGGAACTTGGGAAATGAAGAACCAGTATGGTTGGGAAAGATGGGAGAGAATGCTGAAAGAGATGACATTTGATCAAGATACATTGTACTCACAAAGTGATATGTTGAATTGAAAGTCCCTGATACAGCTACTTAAAGATAATAGAAATAGAAAAGAATATGATTCCTATTTATCAAGAATGCTTACTGCATCATTGCTCACAGTAACGTAATAGCTATTACAATTAGAATTATAAGTAAGGCTGTAGAAACAAAGTGACTGTCCACTTACAGGGATGTTTGAATTGATATAATTCATTCAAACAGTAAGAAATGATACAGCCATTAAAAGCATGAAGTTGTGCCCTAAACAATTGCCTTGAAAGGATTTCCATCAGTTAAGGGTAAAGATAAATTTAAGATGTGATCTCACTTTTGTAAAATAAGGAATGATAGACCATTGCCTCCTGTGCATAAACTCACTATATTATGCATTGTCTTCTAAGCATAGAGAAGTAAGAGAAGATGCCCAAGGAGTAGGTGAGCCTTCAGAGGTATGAAAGATGATGATATTGAATGAATTTGAAAAATCCATTCAAAAAACACTCCAGATTTTGCTGTTTGCTACTTATTATTTGTTTGGCTGGTTGTGTGGTACAAATTTTGTGTAAAACTACAATCTGAATCTGTTCAGTAAAAAGTATCTTCTCATTAGCTGTTTTTTGTTGTTTTGTTGGTTTTTTTTATTGTGAAAGAACCATACAGAGGGGTTACAATTACATGGGCAAGGTAATGAGTACATTACTTGTCAAGCATTGTTGCCTCCTCTTTTGTTTCCCCTTACTATCCCTTCCCATCTCCCCCCACACACCTCGCTCACCCCTCCGCCCCCCCTGCTCATTAGCTGCTTTTTAAAATTTGTATTTATTATCTTTAAGTTGCTATACAAAGGTATTTTCAATTCTACATGTCAGTTCATGAGTACAATGATCTTGATTGATGATACATCGTTCATCATTCTCCCCCATCTCTCCCAACCCTGCCCATCCCTCAAGTTACCTGTTTCCATTTTCACACATGTACATTGAATATGGTGACAGCATTCACCCACCCTTCTTCTCTTCATCTGTTTTCATTAGCTTTTTCTTCTTCTCCTCGCCATCTTTTTCCTATAATGAAAGCAAGTGTGTTGCTAGCTCGTTTTCAGAAGTCAGGGAAACACTTGAACTGAAAAGTCAGCCACCCACTGACAAGGCCAACTGATAAGATAAATGGACTTAGAAGATTAGAAATGAGGACAGCACGTAATGAAATGAGATTTATCTTGAGAGGAAAATGTAAACTAGTTTAGGAAGAAATAGCTCAATAAGTACTCAGCCTGAAAAGGGAGAAAAGCACGCCTTCCATAGAGATGTGTGGGAGAAAAGAGGACTAACAGTGATGTGGCCTGAGTGCCACTCTCCATACATAGCCCAGGAAACGAAAATAACATCTTATGAGGTGCCCAGTGACATATAGTGCTTCCAGTAATCTGTTACTTTTTTTGATTTGGCTCTTTTACTCTAATAAAGGTGTGGTCAAATAGTTGATATAGTTGTACACAAAAACATTTTGGTCACTTGTGCTAATCACTGTCTTGGCAATTGTTTTTTTTAATTGGTCAGGGGGCTTGAACTAGGCCTGGTGGCTGTCCCTGAGCTCTTTCACTCAATGCTTAGTGCTCTACCACTTTGAGCCACAGTGCCACTTCCAGTTTTTGAGTAGTCAATTGGAGACAGGAGTCTCTTGGGGACTTTTCTGTTTGGGCTGGCTTTGAACTGTAATCCTCAGATTTCAGCCTCCTAAATGGCTAGGATTACAGGCATGAGCCACCAGCACCCAGCTATCTTGGTAGTTTTAACAACCAGAGTAACACAAAAGAGTCTGCAACACTTCTGGGACCTGTGCCTTCATATCTACTAAAGAGGCAGGTCTCTATACTGCATACACACCAACCATCCTGGCCTCCAAAGCTACTGTTGCAAACTATGCTCTGACTCAGAGCTAGTGCTGGTGAAAAAGGGATTCATGAGAGGGGGCATATGTCTAAACTGTCTGCACTGGAGCCTGCCTTTCCCCTTGTAGTGGGTCAGGTTGCCTCAAGAGGCTTTGTGTCTACAGACAAGAGCAATAGACTTCTTGTAATTAAGAACTAAGGCTTTAG